AGACCGGCGTCTTCGGAGTGCGCCCGGTCTGCTCCTCGTCGATGAAGCGCCTGCGCAGCTTGTCGGCGTAGCCCTGCTGGTGCATCCACAATTTTCGCGCCGGCCTGTCGCGCACGATCTCCAGGCCGAGATACTTCTGTACCGGCAAAAATTTCGCGCAGCTCAAAAGCGGCCTCCAGCAGCTCCTTCAGCTCCTTCAGCATCGCGGTGCTGCTGCTCGCGGGCGAGAAGGTCGTCGACGTAGACCAGCACCCAGCAGGTCACCTTGTCGTCGCCGGCCTTGAAGTACAAAGCCTCGTCGACTTGGCTCTTCTTCCACCCGGCGCCAACCAACACGTCGTTGAGAGCCGTGTACCACAGCAGCGGCGACTGCTTCAGCCCGTAGAGGCTCTTCAGCAGCTTGCACACCCGGCCGGTCCCGTCGTTGAAGTGGTCCGGCTGATACATGTACAGCACGCGGTCGAGCTTGCTCTGCAAAAAAGCGTTCTTCATGTCCAGCTGCATCAGGTTGAGGTCGAGGACGGCGACGATGCTGAGGAAAATCCTCAGCGTGACGTAGCTGCTCACCGGCGCGTACGTCTCGTCGTAGTCAGCGCCATACACCTGCATGAAGCCTTTCACGACCAGCCTCGCCTTTTCGCGCTCGACAGTGTCGTCGATGCGGTACTTCGTTGTCAGCACCCACCGGTTCTTCATTATGTTCACCCCCAGCGGGCGTTCAACCAGCTCCCAAGTGCCCATGTTGATGAGGCTACAAATCTCCTCCTTCATGGCGGCCTTCACCGCCGGGCCCTTCCAGCTCGCCAACGCCTCCTTCACCGTCATGGTCGAAATGTCCCAACGGTGCTCTGGATCGGCGTGCATGTCGGGGTCGAGCTCCGAAAACTCCTCATCGTCCTCGGCGTCATCGTACGCCAGGTCGTCGTCGTCCACATCGTACACCGTGGTGAAGGCAGCAGGGACGAAGAAGTCGGGTGGCCTCCGAATTCGGCCCGACTTCCGAGATCCGGGCTGCACCTCCACCACGTCGCTCGATGTGCCTTCATCGAACTGCTCCCCTGTCGTCCGCTCCTCTGAAGCGAGCTCCGCGTTCGACGGCTCCACTGTCGACGGCTTCTCTGAAACGCGCTTCCCGTTCGAGAGCTCCCCTGCCAACTGCTCCGCGGTCGGCTTAGCCGCTGCCTGATCCCCTGTCAGCTGCCTGCTAGCCGCGGGCTCCTCCGCGGTCTCCTCCGCGGTCTCCTCCGCGGTATCCTCCGCGGTCTCCTTCGCGGTTTTCGCGGTGTCCTTCGTGGTGTCCTTCGCGGTGCCCGTCGCGGTTTTCTTCGCGGTCTCCTCCACGGTCCTCTTCTCCGCGACTGGCTCACGTCGGCCACCGGCGGTGCTCTTGGCCGGCGCCACAGGCGACGCCCCACGACTCCCCTCACCGCCGGAGGCCGACACCGGAGGAAGGCCACGCAGTTCGACGGGAAGGGGATGGGAAGAAGGGGCAGGAGATGGCGAGGCAGGGGCGACCGCGACATCCTCATCAGCCTGCTCACCGACCTCGGCGAGCAGAGGAAGCGTCGCCGTCGAGGTGTCCGTCGGCGGGTTGGCCCGCGTCCGCCCCGACGCGGGCCTGAATTCCGACTTCCACACCTCCAGCGACAGAGTTTCGTAGAACACCACGTCCGACGTGGTGACCACCCGGTTGTCGGCGATGTCAAGGAGCTCCCAGCCTTTGCTCTCCTCCGACACGCCGAGGTGAAGCCCCCACCGGGCCTTCGGCTTCAGCTTCCCACCGCGCTGCTGCTCAGGGACGAGAAATTGTGCCATGCAGCCCCACACCCGCACCAGTGACAGGTCGGGCTTCTGCCTGGTGAGAAGCTGGTATGGCGTCGTCCCCGCGGGCAGCGTCGACCGCTCCAGGCAGTTGCGAACCCAGACGGCCTGCCGCAGAGCGAGATGCCACCAGTGGTGTTGCACGCCCATGTGCAGCAGCATCGTCCGCACCGACTCTACCACCGTCCTCATCTCCCGCTCCGCCATGCCATTCTGCTGCGGGGTGTAGAGGCATGTCAAGTCGTGGATGATGCCCTTGCTGTCCACGAAGGCGGTGAAGTCCTTGCCGAGGAACTCCCCTCCGCGATCAGAGCGCAGTTGCAGCACCGAATGCTTCGCCTGCCACTCCACCAGCACCAACCACTTCTGGAACTCCAGCAGCACGTCCGACTTCTTGGCGACCGGCCGCACCCACACGTAGCGGGTCTTGCGGTCCTTCAGCAGCAGGAAGTACAAGCTTCCGTCCTTGGCAGCCACGCGAAATGGCCCGCACAAGTCAATGTGCAAGACGGCCAGGACATCGTCGGCTTCGGAGCCGTGGTCGGGGAAGGTGTGCCGCGCCAGCTTCCCGCCGACGCACGAAACACACGAGGAGTCGGTGCCAGACGCCGACGTGAGGTCCAGCCCAGTGGCGACCTCGTGCTTCGCCGAGCTCCGTATCGTGTCCATGCCAACATGCGCAAGCCTCGCGTGCAGCCTGTTCGGGGTTGCCTTCGTCGCCGAGACGATCGCCCGCAGAGCTACCTCCTCGTTCGCGGGCGTCGTCGCCTTTACCGTGCATGGGCGTAGGCCAGTGCAGAGGACCCGGCCGGTGTACGTCGCTCGACCGAGCACGTCCCCCGCCGCGGAGACGAGCAACATTCGATCGCCGTCGTCCTTCAGCGTCACCCCGCTCTCCTTCAGCTGGCCAGCCGAAAGCAGATTCGCCTGCACGCCCGGGACGTAGAGAACGTCGGAGATGAGCACTCGCTTCCCGGCCTCCCCTTGCAGCGCAACCGTGCCACGGCCGCGAACGTCCTGCAGCGCCCCATTGAAGCCACGCACATGTTTCACATCGCCGCTCGGCCCCAATTCGACGAAGGCCGCCTTCGTCCCCATCAGGTGGTGCGAGCAGCCGCTGTCGAGCAGGACCACCGCGGGGTTCGCCTGCACAGCTGCCGCCACCGCCTGGAAATCCTCGCCAGCTTCCGGCGCCAGCGAGACAGTCGGCTCCACGATACCGACCAGCGAGCACGACGCCTCCTTACCGTCTCGCCCTTTGCCACCTGTGGAAGAGTCGGCGTCCTTCGCCGAGGTCGATTTCGTCGACTGCTTTTCTTTTCGCGGTTGGTTTCCTCGACGCGGATTACGGCTGCCAGAACTTCCGCGGCCTCCCTTCGCGTCGTCATCGTCAGAATCGCTGCGGTCGGGGCACTCGAAGGAGAGGTGATCGGGATCGCCGCACAGCCAGCATTCCCGACGTCGACAAGGTGACCTGGTAAGTTGACTCGATGAAATGCCACGCCCAGTGGCCAGCGTCGAGGTACTCCCTGCACGACTTCAGGGCGATCTGTACGCCCGACGAGCAGCACCGCGAAATGACCGTAAAGGTCAGCAGCTGCACGGCGCGAAATTCCGCTCGCAGGTCGGGGTAGTGCTCCTCCTGCGTCGCCACGGTTCCACGGGCGAAGCCAATCAGCCCGGCCATCTCCAGCTGGGGCTCGATGGCTTCCTTCCACGTGAGGATGTCGGGACGACCGACCAGCAGAGGGGTGACCGAGATCCTGTCCGGCGTAAACTTGAAGTAGCCGTAACTCGGCGCAATTCCTCCCGTGGTCACGTGTGTCGCCGACATCGGCGCCAATTCACTTCGTCTGCCTCCGACGTAGTTTCGCGGGGCCCTTGCAGCTGCGGACGACTGCATCCCTCGCGCCTGAACGCCGCAAACTTCATCGGTGTGAATCACACCTCGCTGCCTCGATGTGCCTCCCGCGCTGCTGCCGACTTGGCCACCACCCGCGTTGACGTCCGCGTCGACGCCGCCCGCGTTGTTCACCGGTCAAGGAGACGCAGGCCGAGAGGGAGGGTGCTCCGTCGCCCACAAGGAGCGGATGCCAGCCTCGACGACCGTCCAGGGGATGTCGCCATACTCGTTGGCCTCGTGCTTTCTCCTCGCGTTCTCCACCCGTGCCTCCAGGGTGTCCACCACCCCTCCGTCACTCACGGCTCCTACCATAGTGACTACCGCACAGCTGCCGGTCTACGAACAAGCTAGGTGAGTGAGAAGTCAGCTAAACCAAAGGTTTCGTCGCAGTGTCGTCCACGCTCACCGCACCATGCGGAGATAACTAGTGCAACGGGAGCTAGACTACGGGCTAGGCACGGGGCAAGAGTGATCGTAGCGTTCGTTCCTTCCTTAGTCGTTCCTTAGTGCTAACACTGCTTGCTAGTTCACGGGGAAAATTTGCAAGAGTTTCACTAGGAAAACGTGACAACAAAAGTTCAGAATGATTGTATCAACATTGGCAACACTGACTACATCAGACCTAGCAAGGCTGCTGGTCCACTGCCAGCGCAGCATGGTCGACCGCGTGCCAGCACGACTTGATCGACCGCGCTCCAGCAGAGCAGAGTCGCGGCTTGCCAACGTTGCAAGTCCGCGGTGTGCCAACGCTGCAGTATGTCGGATGCACAGCGTTGCATCCGCGGGACAACGGTGCACCAGCTTCGCAGGTGCGTGCAGCTGGTTGGCGCCCAACTCCCCGTCACATGCCCAGCGCAGACACTCCGCCCGTGACGGCGCCCACCAGCCACGTCGACCTCGGGATACCACCCCCGAGATCGTCTTCGTAGACAACATCCCCGGCGACTTTCGCGCACGTCGCCCGGGTATCCTGGTCGACCGGGTATTTCGCGGTCCTCCCGCGGTTTCTCGGCCACCGCGGTCCTCCCGCGGTTTTGTGGCTCCACGGTCCTCCGCGATTTCGTGGCTCCCACGGTCCACCGCGATTTCGTGGCTCCCACGGTCCACCGCGATTTCGTGGCTCCCACGGTCCACCGCGATTTCGTGGCTCCCACGGTCCACCACGATTTCGTGGCTCCCACGCTCGACTCCGCCCAAGCGAGGACGGGGCCAAACACAAATCCCGTTGACAGCGAGGCGCTTGGCAGAGACCGTAGACTGGCCGCCGGAGGCTCCACTAGGTACCAGGAGGAAACGACCCAGTGAAGTTAGGTGGGCGGCGCAGCCAGATCTCCTCGTGCAGGCTGCCCTGTAGGAAAGCAGTGCTGAAGTCAAGAGAGTGAAGCTCGTAGTCACATTGAGCGGCGACGTGCAGCAAAACCCAAAGAGTGGTCATCTTCGGGGTCGGGGAGAAGGTCTGGAAGAAGTCAACTCCCTTTCGCTGACTGAAGCCTCGAGCAACGTAACGCGCCTTGAAGACAGGCGGAGAACCCGGCGGCCGCTTCACCCTGAAAATCCACATGCCACTGACGATGTTCGCCCCAGGAGGGGGAACCTCATCGACATAAGTGCTGTGGACTTCCAGGATGCCATCTCTGCGTCCATGGCTGACTGCCACTGAGAGGAGTAAGGACCCTCTATCGCCTCTGCATAAGAGCGCGAGGTCGGGATGTCTGGTGCATCCGGGTCTCCCTCAGGTGCACTCAGCATGGACACGAGATGAGGTACAGCAGTTGCAAAGTACTCAAAGTCCTCCTGCCTGTCCTCAAGGACGTCCGTGCCAAGAGCACACTCACCCCCGACGGACGGAGGACACACAGACTCAGACACAGCAACAAGACTAGCGGCGTAGTCTAGACGACAGTGAGCAGCAAAGTCGACAAGCTCAGCAACTAAGGCAGACGCAGCAGTGGACTCAAAGGAAGGGTCAGTGACAACAGTAGCTAGTAGACGCGTGATGGTAGGGCTGGCAGCACGAAGTGAGTCACACTCGGGGTCCGGACCGTCAGAAAGGGAGGACGCAGGAGGAGACGGCAGAGGGACACGCAGTGGAACAGAGGAAGGACGAAGTGCCATCTGGTGCGTGCCGGGGACAGGAGGAGGACGCGGATGCGGAACACGACGACTAGTGCGAGTAGCGCGAACAGGCGACGCAGGGCGAGACGCAGGCTCACGACGCTCAGCAAGACCTCAGGTCGGTCCAGTGTAAAGAGAAGGACCAGGCAGTGGGGAGGCCGACGGTAACTGTGACTGCGACTGGACAGGCGGTGGACACTCTAAGGGAGGAGTAGGACCAGTAGAAGGCGGAAGACCAAGAACCTGCTGAAGGAGTGGAACGAAGTACGGCCGCGACCGTGCAGCACCACCAGAACCAGCAAAGACGGCTCAAGCACCCCCAGCTCCAGGGTCTCCAGCTCCAACTCTTGCAGCACCACTAGCTCCAGCACTAGCAGCACCACCAGCAGGAACAGCTCCAGCGCCTCCAGCTCCAACTCGTGCAGCACCACCAGCAGGAACAGCTCCAGCGCCTCCAGCTCCAACTCCTGCAGCACCACATGCAGGAACAGCTCCAGCGCCTCCAGCTCCAAGTCCTGCAGCACCACCAGCTCCAGCACCAGCAGCACCTACAGCAGAAACAGCTCCAGCGCCTCCAGCTCCAACTCCTGTAGTACCACCAGCCCCATCAGCTCCAGTACCAGCACCTCCGTGACCAGCGGCTCCAGTACCTCCAGCAGCTCTAGCAGCAGCAGGAACTCCAGCTCCAGTAGTACGGCTCCAGCGCCGAGCAAACCACTCGCGCAACTGCGGTGGAGAGAGTGGCTCTCGCCGGGACAAGACACCCGGACCACCTCCAAAGGACAAAGTACCTCTAGGCTCAGCACGCTCAGGCTCAGCACGCTCAGGCTCAGCACCCCCAGGCTCCAAACGCTCAGGCTCAGCACCCCCAGGCTCCGCACCCTCAGACTCAGCAACCCCAGGCTCAGCACCCCCAGGCTCCGCACGCTCAGGCTCAGCACCCCCAGGCCCCGCACCCGCAGGCTCAGCACACCCAGGCCCCGTACCAGTAGGCTCAGCACCCCTTGCAGTACCAGAGTCGACAGCTACCTCGACAGGCTTGACAGGGTCTACCTGGGACACACGTGAGGGGGCAGGACCCTGAGGGGGAGGGGGTCTACCGGAGGAGGACCTGGTGCTAGGAAGAGCGGCGAGAGGGGGAAGGGGGGCAGTGCGGTAGGGGAAGAGACGGTAGTAGGGAACCGACGTCCTAAGAGGACAGAACACGGCGCAAGGTGGGGTGGTAAAACTGCCAGCCAGGCGCATCAGGGGGGAAGCCAAGGAAGACGCAGGGAACAACACGGGAGGACAGCTTGTCCGCGGAAGAATCGCGGACAAAAGCTCAAGATCCCCAGACACGGAAAACAGACGCATCGCCAACCTTCCCCGTCCACCGCAGAGCAGGTGTGGTCTCCGGAACGGAGACACGGGGCTGGAGGTTGAGCTGATGCGCAGCGTACTGAACCGCGAATGGCCACAGAAAATGGGGAGCAGCCGCATGGATCATGGACGTACGAGCGACGTCCATGACCATGCCAATGCGGCGCTCAGCAATCCCATTTTGCTGTGGGGAGGCCGGAAGCGTGAACGTCTGGCGGATGCCCTCCGCACGACAAAAGGCCTGCAGAAGGTCGGAGGAAAACTCTCCACCTCTGTCATAGTGCAGACGTAGAACAGGAAGGTCCGAGCCAAAACTCTCGCTGAGCTGGCGACGGGCAGCGCGGATCCAGTCGATCAGCACCTCAGTGACCTCACCCTTGCGACGCAAGGGGAAGACTGTGGTGTAACGCGAGTAGTCGTCAACGACCAGCAAGAAGTAACGCTCGAGACCCTGTCCACGGACGCGGGCTGGGCCCCACACGTCCATGTAGAGTCTGCAGGGGAGCCTCCGTCGGAGGGAACTCGGAGGAGTGAGGAGCGGCGCGCTGCCGTCCCTCGATGCAAGGAACGCAGGTAGGGGCAGGCCCCGGTGGGAGGGGAGGGAGAGACCGGGAGAGACCAGTGACAAGGACACGGGAGGCCATACCTTGAAGACGAGGCAGGGAGGGGTGACCAAGCCGGTGGTGCCAAAGGAGAGTCAGGTGTGACAGGAGACGACATGAGCAGGGGGCAGACTCCGGACCAGACCTGGACGCAGCAGCAAACACCTGACCAGACGCGGCTACCTGACCAGACGCAGTAACTGGAGGGGACGCAGTAGTCAGGGTGTACAGGCTCGACCCAGGCTGACGGGTAAACGTGGCGAGGTGGCGGCCTATCCGAGTACACGTGCAGTGGGCCACCCGCTAACCACCAGGAGTGAACTGGTCAACCCACACGTCCTAGAGGTCAGCTCCACTCACCAAGATCGTAGAGAATGAGGGGAGGTGGAGACCCGACAGTGAGCCAGACGGGACCGCCGGACACGGCAGAACAGTAGAGGAGTGTGCAAGGACTGGGCCCCCAGAGGGGTTCGCCAGGGAGACAGCAACCGGCCGACTGGGCGGTGTGAGTGTGGTGCTGTCGCGAAAGAAAGAGCGGGAAGCACCGTAGTCAAGAGTGAAAGTGTGCAAGGCCTCAGCACGCGCACTACCTGAGAGAGCAGACTCACCAGCACCTGGAGCAGCAGGCTCACCAGTACCTGGAGTAGCAGACTCACTAGCACCAGAGCAGCAGCCTCTATACCTGGGTCAGGCGGCACACACAGGTAACAGTCACCCTCAGCACTAATAGTCACAGCATACATGGCAGCAAGGATAGCATCATAATCAAGATCAAAGATAGCAACACCAAACTTAAGCAGATCAGCCTAGCGAGGGAGCTCAGTAGCGTCAGAAAACTGTGCGCGCCAGGCGTTAGTCAGGCGACCGAAACAGCGCTGCGTAGCGTGTGGCAGCCCGCACGTCTCCCCACGGTGGTCGCCTGTGCGGAGAACTTAAGCGCAGGGACCAGTACCCCCAGACCTCCCATGCCCAGCTACCACTCACGAAGCTGCTGGAGCGACGGGGGCCTCACGGGAACGCGGCTGCTGCTGGCGCTGGCCACCGCCAAAGCCTGCACGCTGCACGACTCCACCCCGACCAGCACCGCCGCCGCCGCCACCCCCTTTGCCGATGCCGCCGCGGCCTCTACCTCCACCGCCGCCACCGACGCCCCCACTCCCGCCTCCACCCCCACCTCCACTCCCATCCCCTCCACCTCCTCCACCGCCACCACCGCCGCCCCCGCCGTGCTCTCCACCACCCTTGCCCCCCCTGCCCTTGCCGCTGCAGCGCCTCCCACTAGGAGCAGACGCAGCCCCGACCGCCTCGGTGCCAACGAGGTCGATAGTAGCAGCAGAAGCAACAGAGGGCATAAGGGGAACGGGGGAGCACCCCTCAAAGAAAGGGGCGCGAGGGTCGCCTCGAGACACTCCTACAGCGACTATGCTAGTCTCAACTGCAAGGAGGCGCTCCCCAAGCAGGTCGACGGTGAGCTCAGTGGGGCAAAGGGAGAGAAAGTGGTCCCTGACTGAGCGGAGAGAGTCAGGGAGACGGGTGACTAGGTAGAAGAGGGTGATGTACTTGGGGGGGGGGGGGGGGGGGGGGGGGGGGGGGGGGTTCTTGGCGCGAAACTCGGAGGGAAGCGCAGCGCTGTAGCGGGTGTGACTAGTGCGGAGGTGAGTGATGAGGTTGTCAGAATAGTAGGCAGAACGAGGAGCCATAACTAGAGTTTGGGCTAGTTAGGCAAGAGAGAATAAGCAAAAGGAGGCGTTTCACTAGCAAGCAGGTGGATACATATAGGAAACCCTAAGGGGCCGTACTCACTATAGAGTACCACACTGCAGGCTAGAGAAACTACACATTCTGACACACCCCCATAGTCAAAGTGGGGTATGATCAGCACAACAAGCGGCAGTTCATTGTTTACAAATATAAGCAAAGCTAGAGGCTATCACAGAGGGCAAGTGAGGAGGAGGGACTATGAGAGGAGAGGAGGTAGTGGGCGGCAGCTGAAGCTGCTGGCACACGGCGCAACTGGAGCAACTGGCACATGGGCAACTGGAGTAACTGGCTCCGCGACTAGACGAGCTGCAGGAGCAACTGACTCTCGGGCGACTGGAGCAACCGGCTCACGGGCGAATGGAGCGACGGGCTCACGGGCGACTGGCGCAACGGTCTCACGGGCGACTAGAGCTGCTGGCTTCACGGCGGCCACCCCCCTTCAACCTCCCCCTTTGTCCCAAAACTCCCGTTCACACACCCCTTGCTGCACCCCTAGCTTCACTCCCACGACACCCCCCTAGCACCACTCCTTCGGCTCCCACACACCACCCCCCCTCAGCGGCAGCTGCAGCAGTGGGAGACGGAGTGGAGGATGAGCAGGGGACGGCGCACACACCCGCCACCCCCACACCCGCCATCCCATACCCTAAATGCAGGTGGCGCACGGGTCCCTAGGGCGCTGCGATGGGCGACGGGAAGGGCGGCGCGCAGCCCCCGGGGGCGCTTCGACGGGCGACGAGAGGGAGGGGCGACGCGCGGGCCCCCAGGGCGCCGCGGCGGGCGACGGGAAGGGCGGCGCGCAGGCCCCCGGGGCGCTTCGACGGGCGACGGGAGGAGGGGCGACGCGCGGGCCCCCGGGACGCGACGACGGGCGACGGGAGGGGGGGACGCGCGGGCCCCCGGGGCGCCACGACGGGCGACGAGAGGAGGGGCGACGCGCGGGCCCCCAGGACGCGACGACGGGCGACGGGGTCACGGTAATGGATGTGCACAAGTGTGAGCCAATATAGACAGGGATAAAAACCAAACTGGTGTGGAAAGGAATGAGCATAAAATCACAAACAAATATAGAGTCTTCGAGCATATTGTAATGCAGAACTGAGGGTGGGGCTGTATTCAAACTTCTTATGAGCAAGTTCATGCACGATGAGGTGGGTGGGGTGGAGCTGCATCATACGCTCTGACCCCTACTCGACCTGGGCAGAAATTATTTATCCTTCACAACTGGAAGACCACTAATGCGGTTGCAACAGCAATGTCAAAAGCCGTCCCTGACGCCATAGCAGCTCAAGGAACATGTGCCGCAACACGTGGGAAAGCAGTGCAATGCGAGAAGCAGTTCCTGATAGCCATGGTGACTTGCAGATGCTTTGGCAAGCAGGCAGCCACCGAAGCGATCACACGCCCACCTTCACCACACCAACAGCCCGAAAATATGAGGCTGGAGAAGGGACAGTTGCTGCAACCTCCGATGGGCTGCAAAGGTCCAAGAAGCCACGTCAGTCTGAACCCCCTCGCCCTCACTTCAGAATGCCCTTCGAGACAAGAACCTACCATCGTTGTGTTTCATTGCAGAGTAGAATGGATGGCTCATTCTCCCCTGCCTCGGGGCCTGCTTGCGTGGCGGATCCCCTGGTTGGGCGTGAGTACCTTCTGCTTGCTAGACGAGTGCTAGGACAACACAGCAATAGTACATTTGTTTTGCAACGCCTCAACGAATGTACATTATCACATGCACCTGGGCTTGGCATGGCTTGGCTTGGCGTGGCTTGGCTTGGCTTGGCTTGTCTTGGCTGAATCTTGGCATGGGCGGGACTGTTGGCCTGGCATGGCAGCTTTATGGTCCACCAAGGTGTGTCGGGAAATGTGCATGGTGAACGCTATTG